AAAATAGCATGATATTGACTTCTACTTCCAGTCAAGATGGAGTATGAGAGTCCCAATTTAGTGTCCTGCTCACACAAGTAAAAAAAGACAAAGTATACAAAATAGCAGTTTTCAAGACGTTGGACACCAGGCAGTAAAGAACACTGCTCCCTCAGAGGTGGAAAACAAAGTGAACACTGTGATTGCCCAGCTCGCTGCCCTGAGAGGGTTTCCAGGCCATAGTGCAGGCAGGAGGAACCCAGACAGAGCCCCGCAGTCTCCCAGAGCTAAGTAGACAGATCTGGGAGCTCAGGATGCCAAAGCAGCTAGAATTGTCAAAACAGAATACCAGAGAGGGGACAGCTGCCCAGGAAGAACTCTGGAGTTCTGAAGAGGATCCCCCTTAAGAATTCAGCTGAGTACAAATCAGTTCATGTATGTGAGGAAGCAACGTAAATCCAGGGAAAGAAGCACCATACAGGATTAGAGGCAACAGTACCCAGTGTTTACACAAGGTATAGTCTGGGAATGGTGCCTGTTCCCAACAGCCAGAGTGGAAGTTTCAGAATTCATGGGGCATCAGGTAGAGTATTCAGAAGGGTCTTGCCTCAGTAGTGGAAAATAATTAGCCCCAATAACATTGCTCTAGTCCCACTTAAAAAGTCATAAAAGCAAGATCTGAAAACATCACAAGCTTTCTATCAAGTTAAATGCATCCCAGAACAAAGGCAAAAAAAAATTTGTAGAAATACAAAAATATCCACCACCCAGCAAAGTAAAATTCACGATGTCTGACATTCAATTAAAAATTACCAGATAAGCAGAGAAGCAGTAAAATATGACCCATCATAAGAAGAAATCAATCAAACAGACCCAAAAATGACACAGATGATATAATTAGTTGACAAGGATATTAAATAATTATTAAAACTTTATTTCATATGTTCAAGAAGTTAGAGGAAAGATTTAACATGCTAATAGAAACATGAAAAATATTTTTAAAAAGACCAAAATGTCTGAGATTAAATATACACTGGATGCAATTAATGGCAAATTGTTGTAGTTGCCGTTGCGTCTACTGCGACTCATGGCAACCCCACGTGCGCAGAGTAGAACGGCTCTATAGAGTTTTCAAGGCTGTGACCTTTCGGAAGCAGATCACGAGGCCTGTCTTCTGAGGTATCTATGGGTGAGTTTGAACCGCCAACCTTTCAGTTAATAGTCGAGCACTTAACTGTTTGCACCACCCAGGGACAGCCATTACACAGTAAAAAATAAAAGATTAATGAATTTGAAGACATAACAATAGAATCCATTGAAAACGAAACACAGAGAGAAAAACAAAATGAGCAGAGTATCTGTAAGCAGCTTCAAGCTGCCTAATGTATGTGTAATAGAAGTCCCCAAATTGGAGGGAGAAGGGGTAGAAGAAATTTTTAAAGGATATAATAGCTGAACTTTTTTCACCTTTGATAAAAACTATGAACACACAGATTCGAGAATTTCAGTGAGCACTAAGGACAAATATGACGAAAACTCAGATCATAATCAAACTGCTTAAAACCAATGATAAAGAGCAAAATAGCAAAAGCAGCCAGAAAGAATAGACATGTTCTGTACAGAGGAATAAAAACAAAGAGAGCAGCATTTTTCTTGTTAGAAAGAGTGCAAACCAGAGGCAGGAGAATCACATCTTTCAAGTTTGTTTTTGTTTCTTTTTTTGTCCAGTGGGGGCGTGGGAGGTGGGGCAGGAGGAGTGGGCCTATGTTTCCTTTGTGGTTACCTTAATATTTACCCCTATTTTTCTAAGTTTATACCTGTCTTTTATTTCTTTATATCACCTTGACTTCCTCTCCATATGAAAAATCTATGTCTACATTTTTAAGTCCCTCTTTTTTGTTTTAATGTTGTCATCTTTTACATACTGACATCTGTTTCCCTATTTTCAGTGTTTTAGCTTTGATTTATTTTTGTGACTTCCCTAGCTGGGTTGATATCTGGTTGCTCTGTCATATGTTCTAGTCTGATTTTCTAACCAGAGGACTCCCTTTAGCATTTCTTGTAATTTTGGTTTGGTTTTTGCAAATTCCCTAAACTTCTGTTTATCTGGAAATGCCCTAATTTCACCATCATATTTGAGAGACAGTTTTACTGGATATGTAATTCTTGGCTGGCAGTTATTTTCCTTCAAGGCTTTATATATGTCATCCCATTGCCTTCCTGTCTGCATGGTTTCTGCTGAGTAGTACGAGCTTATTCATATTGACTCTCCTTAGTAGATGACTATTTGTTTATCCCTAGCCACTCTTAAAGTTTTCTCTTTATCTTTGGTTTTGGAAAGTTTGCTTATAATACATCTTGGTGACTTTCTTTTGGGATCTACTTTATTTGGGGTTTGATGAGCATCTTGGATAGATATCTTGTCGTCTTTTGTGACATCAGAGAAGTTTTTTGCCAACAAATCTTCAACAATTCTCTCTGTATTTTCTGTTATCCCCCTCATTCTGGTACTCCAATCACTCGTAGGTTATTCCTCTTGATAGAGTCCCACATAATTCTTAGGGTTTCTTCTTTTTTTTAAATCCTTTTATCTGATTTTTCCTCAGATAAGTTGGTGTCAAGTGCTTTATCTTCAGTCTCACTAATTCTGACTTCCATTGCCTCAATTCTGCTCCTATGACTTTCTACTGAGTTGTCTAATTGTGAAGTTTTATTGTTAATCTTCTGGATTTCTGATTGCTGTCTCTCTATGGATTCTTACAGCCTGTTAAATTTGTCATTATGCTCTTGTCTAATTTTTAATTTCCTCTGTTGTATTTTTTGCATTTTGCTTAATTTCCTTCCTAATTTCTTGAAGAGTTCTTTATATTAATCTTTTGTATTGTGCCTCCAGTAATTCCAAGAAATTTTCCTCCTCTGGAAAATTTCCAGATTCTTTTTTTTGGGAACTTGCTGAAGCCATCATGGATTGCCTCTTTATGTGATTTGATATTGACTGTTGTCTCCAAGCCATCAATAAGTTATGATATTTATTTATTTTATGTTTGCTTCCTATGTCCTAGCTTCTTGTTTTGTTTTGCTATGCCCAGATAGGCTGCTTGTATGAGCTAGTTTGATTATTGGCACCTTTGAAACTCTAATGTCCTGTCACCAGGTGGTTAGATCTGTTACTAGGTATGTGAGCTCAGGAGTCCGCCCACTCCTCCCATATGGATTCAGCTCAGGTGCCCAGGTAAGATAGCCACCAAGTGTGTGGTGTAGACTCTCACAGTCCTAGACAGGCATGGGTGATTGGTGTAGGCACAGGCATATGGCTGCAGCTGGGGAACCCACTCTGAGCCAGGCAGGAGGCTGACAGCTGCCTCCAAGTGTCCAGGAGGAAGGTGTGTCCCTGTTCCCTAGAGCATGTAGGTGGGTGGGTTTTGCAGCCAGACTATGAGCACCTAATGCTGTCGGCTGTAAGGACTGGGGGGTACCTCTTATTCATGGGCCCCTATCGCAGGTGGCTAGGTAGCATGAGTGGAGCCAGCAGTCCTCAGGCCCCTGATGTAGGTAGGTGAACACCCTGCCTAATGGGCAGAACAGTTCAAATGTCAAGAATCTGCCACTTCACAGCTGAAACAGTTGAAGTTAGAGTTCCTGTATACACCCTGTTGTACTGCAGTAACGAGGGCCTACGCTGTTGAAAGGGTCCCACACAAGTCTACACAGGGGGAAAGGCACTCAAAGTCCGAGGATCCCTTATGCCTGTGCGTAGGCAAAGGAGCTGTGCCTACTCTGGGTTCCTGGCTTAGGGGAGTTGGCAGTATATTTTTTCCCCTGTTTGTTAATTTGTTCACTCTCCAAGGCAGGGAGAATAGCTCCGGGTGTGTGACAGATCCTATTTCCGGCCCAGGGGACTCAGCAATTGCTGAAGCTGGTCTGGGACCCAGAGCAGAGCAGGGAGTGGGGAGGTAAATGGGAGAGAGGTTTTTCCCTAAGGGGGTTGTTTTTGATCCTCATGAAAAGCCATATGCAAGTAGTTATCTTTCGTGGAGGGCTGCTTCTCACTTGTTCTGGGTGGCTGTGTAGAGTCTCTGGTGCTGGGTCTCCCCTGGTTTGGAAAACGCACCTCCCAAGCACAGCTGTTTGCCTGCTTCACTGCTCCACCCCAAGCTGATCAGGCCTGAAGGGCTCAGGCTCTAGCGCAGTCAGGTCTGGGAACTCCTCGCTGCTTCCAAACCATCTCTCCCTCCCCCTGCCACTCAGTCCAGTTCCTCAACTCTGTCTTTGATGTTCAGGGCTCCCAGATTACCATATATAATCAAATCACTTGTTTTTTTGGGTCTTTGTTGTAAAAGGGTCCACCAGAAGCATCTGACTACTCTGCCATCTTGGCCTCGCCTCAGAAGTGGGCCTATGGAGGGACTGTCAACTTAGACTTTTTTACCCAGTGAAAATACCTTTCAAAAATGCCGTGGAAGATTTCCTCCCTGACACGGAGAAGGACAAAGAGCCAGTAGATGAAAAATCTAAGCAACGCCTTTGATACTCATCACACTGATACTGGAGGATGCAGGTTACGTCTGGGGAAGAGGGCTTCCTAATGCTAAACCACAGAACTAGATTTAAGCCATCAATCACCAGCTAGGCCGAACAACTGCAAACTTCCAAGGTGTACGCAAGGCCTTTGCAACCAAGCTTACATGGCAAAGAGCAATCTAGAATGGTATATAAACTTTAGTCTAAGAATCACCTGTAGAGATTCTTAAAAATTAGATTCCTGGGCCCCAACCGCAAATATCCTGATTCAGTAGGTCTGTGGTGGGGCCACCAAATCTGATTTCTAGCAAGCTCTGGTAATGGTGATGCTGCCTTCCAGCAGAACACACTTTAATATGCTTCTGTTAGCTGGGGCATGATCCTAAAATGAATTATAGGCAATAAAAGACCAGGGCTGTACATGTGCACTTTTTATTCCAAACTCTTCTATCATGGGTGTGAGAGAAGTGGATGAATGCAGGGATAAAGGCTGGGGTGTTATGTTAATGGAGTTCCTTCTTCATAAGAGAGGGCAAAAAAAATTGGAAAAAAATGTCCTCTAACAGTATCTAGCTTTGTGTTCTCCTAATCCTTTGATTTCACCACTAAGCCTATTGGCAACCTGAGGCAGGGCTACTTTCCCCATAGAAGGAGAATAGCTGTCCATCAGAACAACGGTGCTCCCATCTTCAACTGTCCTTCCAGATACCAACACTGCTCTCCTGGATGTCCTGCAGGAACCCCTGAGAAGAAGCACACATTTTGCTCAGAGAAGTCTCTGAAATGGGTCAGAACAGTATGTTAATTAAATTCACTCCAAATCCAACCCGTTTCCAAAACCAAGAGTTCACTCCCTGTTCTATGTCCCATCCCAAAGTATCTGCAGCCACATTGTCGATCAGAGCCTCTCAGAAAGGACGACCAACCAACACAGTCTGCCTAAGACTGAGGGGTTTCTGAGATGTGGGACTTTTAGCTCAGCAGTTCTTTTTTTTTTTTTTTAATTGTTTTTTTCTAATTTTATTTATTTTGTTGTTATTGTTGAGAATATACACAGCAAAACATACACCAATTCAACAGTTTCTACATGTACTATTCAGTGACATTAATTACATTCTTTGAATTGTGCAACCATTCTCACCTCCTTTTCTGAGTTGTTCCTCCCCCATTAATATAAACTTGCTGTACCCTAAGTTTCCTATCTAATCTTTAGAGTTGCTGTTGTCAGTTTGATCCCATATATATAGATCTTGAAAGAGCACAATGCTCAGGGCAGACATTCCTTACTATTTAGTCTAAACTATTGTTTGTTTTTTAGAAGATTTCAGGGGATATTCTTGGTTTAAGGTTTAAAGGTTATCTAAGGGCAATAGTTTCAGGGGTTCATCTAGCCTCCATGGCTCCAGAAAGTCTAGAGTCCATGAGAATTTGAAATTCTGTTCTGCATTTTCCTCCTTTTGATCAAAGATTCTTTTACAGAATCTTTCATCAATATATTCAGTAATGGTAGCCTGTCACCATCCAGTTCTTCTGGTCTCATGGCAAAGGAAGCAGTTGAGCAGTTGTTTATGGAAGCAATTAGCCACACATTCCATATCCCACTCTTACTCCTAATTCCTCCTTCCTCTGTTGCTCTAGGAGACTAGAGACTAATTGCGCTTTGGATGACTGCTTGTAAGTAAAAATTTTAAGACCACAGGCACTACACGATGAGCTAGGAGGCAGAACAGAAACACTAAACATGTTATCAGGCCAATTAACTGGAGTGTCCCATGAAACTATAACCCTAAACCACCAAACCAAGGAACCAAATTCCATGAGGTTTTTGGTTGTACATAGCAACCTGGAACAATTTGGTCACCTTATGTAATGTAATTAAATGACAACAGTTATGTTGATATGCCTCAAGTTGGAATATAAACCCCCTCCCAATTATCAAATTCTGAGGAAGAAATTTAAGTCAAATAATAAAATTACTTTCCAAGACAGATAGGAAATACACAGTAAAAAGAAAAAGAAAAAAGCCTGAAACCCAATTTTTTACCTCACAAAGTAAAGTTCAAGAAAATTAAAATCCAAAAGTCATCTCTCCCAACTTTTCGTTCTGCTCTGTCTCGGAGAGAGAGGTTCTAGGTGAAGCTGGCATTTCTTCAGTGAAGACCGTCTGGGAAGCTTCTCACTGGAATGAAAGCTAGTTTAGGGCTTCAGAAGTTGTAGTATTAGTTTGGCTCCAAGACTCTCACTTGTAAAGAATCCAAAGAGTTATCAGGACTCACATGATTATTTATAAGATTATCAGAGCCATCACCTTACACCCAAAAAATTCAGAAAATGAGATAATCCCCAGGCCCTAAAACAATTAGCCAAGGCAAAACCATCTTCCCAGTACCCAGGAAGTTTTCTTGGTAACTATCATAGCAGAATCCCGTACTTACTGTGAGCAAAGACTATCGCCAAAGCCACAGTGTAAGATCTACACAAAGAAGGGTAGATAGAGAAAATCTCTGTTTTAATTGTTCCAGGAGGCCAATCGTCAGTCAGCTGCCCACAATCTATCATCTGTAAACTTTAACTCTTCCATCTCAGAGCAAGGGGCAAATTTTGATCGTCTACATTTTACCATCGACAAATGCTTACTGCCTTCCTGAAAAGTTTCAAAATTTGCAAAGGAAACGGTCCTGTCACTAGGTCTCACGCAAGGCGCCTTTCCCCTGCATCCATTACATTAAAAACTGGTTAATTTCCATTTTCCTCAGAGACTGCTGTTTCTGGCACCCCCATGATAGCAGCCACACTCTTCTGTTTTTGAGATCTGCACCACAGTAGCTGCTCCTCCTGCCTCTGACTGCTATGGCTTAGACCAAAGAAACCCGTCTCAGGGATCATCACTCCCTCATACGCAATTCACTATCTATATTTAATTTGAGAGCACACAACGGAGCCTGACTTGAGAGCCATTGTGTAGCCTAATGAAGCCAATGTTTTCTTCTTCACAGCTCCCTCCTTGGCCCTGCAGGTAGAGTGGATCTTGTTACAGATGACCAGGCATTGTTTACCTAAGCCTGACTCTAACAATTTCAAACTAAAGCCTCACTCACTAAGGCTGTGTTCCATGAAGGTCTGGCTTCTGAAGCCCTGTCTCTGTAACAACAGCCACTCTCCTGTGAGTAAAGCTGTCATAAGCTGCAGTCATTGCCAATATCAAAATCTCACATGGCCTAAGATTTAAAAGCATCCACCCAGGCCACAGTAATTAATAATGAGCCTACCACAGACCTCCAGAAATGATGTTGCTCCACACAAAATATCCTGTTGTAAAGAGCCAAGGTATAAAAACACACAAGTCCAGATCAACGCCACAGGCAACTTTCCTCTCTGATTTCCTCCCGTCTGCTTCTCAAGGTCTCCTGCCCAAGATGTGGATGCTGTCATGCTCCTTAATTGAATATAACTCTCAAAAACCTGCAATTTCACACATAGTGCCTGTCACTGTGTAGCTGACTGCTTGGAGGAGCAAAGCAGACCCTAACAAAAAAGGATGCAAAAATATTTTTGTGACCTCAAAAAAAATCGGGAAAGTGTTCCTTAAAAAATATCCCAAGCTGTTGCCTCCTCAGGGAAATGAGAAGAGGAATTAAGGAAAAAACGAAGCAAAAAACACTAAATGGACTGCATCTTGGTTAAATATTTTGTGAAGAGAACAGTAAAATTGTTAAGGTAAGTTTAGAAAATTGACGAGTTACATTCAGCTCCCTTGAAGGAAGTTGTAATTTGAGTATTTAATCATTCTCATTTTAGTGAAGACATAATTCAAGGTGTAAAAGAATAGATATATCTGTCCTCTGTTGATTAAAAAATGAGAATCCAAGTTCAACTGAGCAGAGTTCCGTTGGCTTAGTGTGGATTTCAGCGACTGGAAAGAATGGGGAGATAACCTAGATGAAGGAGACCTGCCTGAAGTGTAGCATCTCTCTGAGATGATGAAGGACAGGCGAGGTCACCAGGATGTTGATTAACCAGAAGTAAACGTTGCAGACAGTGATTCACAGGCCAGTGAGAAGGAAAAAGTGCCAGACACGTCACAGGAAACACTGTCATCTTTAGGGTTTGGGGAAAGAAAGATAACTACATTGCACTATTTCATAATACTGAAATGAGAGAATTCCTGAGCTAATAACGCTAAATAATGCTTTTGCTTTTTTCCTCTTTACCAATCTGAAGTCAATTTTAAGTTTTTTTTCTTAAGGGTTTTACTTAAGGGTTGATGCGTAGCTTTGTATGGGACAGTCTTACATCATCTGATGCAATAACCATATGCATGAACATTTTTTTTGGTTCCATGAAGCAGTTGACTCAGCAATTGTAATAAAAATATTTTACCTATGTTTTCTTCATAGCATAGATATTCTTAGGAAGCTCTCAGTACAGCATCATTAAGTTAATTTTTTCCCCTTTTTTTAGTGGGGAAGATAATTAATTTTAGATTTTAGTACACGAGAGGGAGTGAAAAGAAATGTTTAATTGGCTCTTACCTTATACTATTAACTACTATACCTCTGTGATGTCTTAAGAATTAGTTCGCTAAAGTTTTATTTAATTTTTTTTTTTGCTGTCTGTCAGCCATGACTTGCCAAGGATCTAGGTGTACACGAGCTAAATCTAGCGAATGCCTTGAATTACAAGTCTATGAAATCTGTGCTTGGTGTTGTTTTTCTTGTTCTAGGGTAAAAACATCACAAAGCTTAGTAAAGCAAAAAGCAAGGTTTTATTCAGCGTATATTCAAAGAGGCAAAAGTAGGAAACAGACAAGCATGTTGCCAGAAGCCATCTCTGCCCGAGTCCAAGGAATGTTACAGAATCATCAGTATATATTAACAGTACAAATGGGAAAAACCATTGAAAGTTTCACCTTCTCACAGATTGGCTAGAAACCGCTAAATTTTTTAACTGTCTTTCTTAATAATCATTGGTACAGGTTTCAGTAACGACAGTCAGGAGGGTCTTCATTGGTCCAACAAATCCTACTATTCACTACATGCTAATAGAAAAAGATCGGAGTGGAAAGTACATGGGTCTTTTGCGCTTTGTTTATGATCAATTTATGTGAAAGTTTCTTAAAAGATGTTTTCCAAGATTGTCCTAGCCATTGTCTTTATATCTCAGGGCCCAGTTGATGTGTCCTTGTGAGTCCTTGTGAGTCCAGCTCCAGCTGGGTCACATTCTTTATACTGCAGGACAGGGAATAATGGCTCCAATATTATCTCCAAAATCAGTCTTTAAAAAAAAAAAGTATTGAGACAACTGACTGTTAATGAGTGGAAGAAATCAAATTCCTATTTTACACCATACACAAGATAAATTCCAGAGAGATTAAAGACTTAAATGTGGAAAACTTTTAAAATATGATATAGAATAGTGTCATGCTTTCAGGAAAAGATTTGTTAGACATGATACAGCATTCCAAGCAAACAAAAACAAGATTGATGTATTTGACTGGTAAACTTTGAAAAAATACAGCAAGTACAGCTGACAGAAACTGGTAACTGGAATAAATGAAGGGTTCAATTTAAAAATCCCAAAAAATTAAATTAAATCAAAATTTAAAAAAAGGATATGGCGCATATATATATAAACAGGCAAGTCAGAGAACAGGAAACCCAAATAGCCGATAAACATATAAAAAGATTCTCAAACTCACCAGTGTTTGTTCAGAGAAATTCAAAGTAAAGCTATAACAATACTTCATTTTTCACTCATCAAATTGGTTAAAAAGAAGTCAAAGTTTTAAAATACCAAATCCTAGCAAAGGCAGGATTCAGAAATGAAACTGACGTAAGGCCAATTCCCCAAATTTGAAGATGACTCATAACCCTGCTTTCCCACTTCTCAATTATCTTTGAAACCAGCCACCCATTAGGTACTTCTCTCTCTGACTCTAACTACCTAGAATTAGGTCAGATCTTACAAATTAGAAGGACTTTGTTCTTCGGATTGACTGCCTGCATGGCCCTTCTCTGTCCGCCAGCTGCCCAAAGCTGGGTCTTCACAACTTTGAATGACTCTGCTCTTTTCAGAGCCAAATTGGTTAGATGTCAGCTCCCGCTGACTCTCACAGCCCCCCTGTGATTTAATAATTCTCTAGAATGACTCACTGAACTCAAAGAAAGGACTATACACACTGTAACGACTTTAACATAACCCAAAAAGGATACTGTCATGGAATGAATTGTGTCCCCCAAAAATATCTGTCAACTTGGCTAGGCCATGATTCCCAGTATTGTATGATTGTGTACCCTTCTGTAAATCTGATGTGATTTCCTTATGTGTTGTAAACTCTATCACTATGATGAGGTTATATGTGATTTCCTCATGTGTTGTAAACTCTAATGCTATGATGAGATTATACTGATGAAGTTTACCAAATTAGTGTCTTAATCCAATCTCTTTTGAGATATAAAAGAGAGAAGCGAGCAGAGACACATGGGACACATGACAATGGACAACCAAGAAAGCAGTGCCGGGATCAGAGCGCGTCCTGTGGACCTGAGGTTCCAGAGCTGAGGTGCTCCCAGACCAAGAGAAGATTGATGACACGGACCTTCCTCCAGAGCTGATGGACAAAGTGTTCCCCTGGAGCTGATGCCCTGAATTTGGACTTTTAGCCTCCTGGACTGTGAGGGAATAAATTTCTCTTTGTTAAAACCATCCACTCGTGGTATTTCTGTTAGAGCAGCATTAGATGACGAAGACAGATACAAAGAGGCACGAGGTCTGAGAGAGGTCCTGAAACTAATCTTCCAAGTCCCAACGGGCATACCACCCTCACAGGTACATGATAGTCTTTTTCACCATCCAGGAAGCTCCGAATTTCCATGTTCAAAGCCTTTTATTAGCTTCGTCACATAGTCATGAGTGGGTCATCATTGCATAGTCACGATTGATCAAATCACTGAATATGCATAATTAAATTATGCCCCCCTCCCTTGCTGAGGTTAGTGTGGTCTGTGTAGCCATGACTCACCTACACACATTCTCAGGTGCTGTCTGGGGTTTTACATAATAAAGGTGCCTCAATTGTTGGGGGTATTCCAAGGGTTATCTTTCAGGAATCAAAGGTAAAGGACAAATCCAGTTATTTGTCTCACCCTGGGGGCTGGGAAAGGGGTGACTCACAGGTAGCTGGAAGACTACAAATTGGTACCACTTTGGGAGGACAATTTTTTTTTTTTTATTGTACTTCAGGTGAAGGCTTACAGAACAAATAGTTTCTCATGAAACAGAAGTACACATGTTGTTTTATGACATTG